TATATGTTGACACATGTGGATCACATGTGGATGATATCAATATGTTGACACATGTGGATGATATCAATATGTTGACACATGTGGATGATATCAATATGTTTACACAGAAAGATATCAGTATGTTGACACATGTGGATGATATCAATATGTTGACACAGGAAGATATCAGTATGTTGACGCATGTAGAAGTCAATATGTTGACACATTTAGATATCAATATGTTGATACATGTAGATGATATCAATTTGTTAACACATGAAGACATCAATTTGTTAACACATGAAGGGATCAATATGTTGACACATGTAGATATCAATATGTTGATACATGTAGATGATATCAATTTGTTCACATGTAAATATCAATATGTTGACGGAAGCAGAAAATATATTTATGTTGACACATGTAGATTGTCGGACTGTGTTGACACACTGAATGCAGTGTAGGACTGAATGTACTTTGAGCCATACCACCCCCTGGGTACTCGAAATTCCTACATGTTATCACAAACATTTGAAAATACACACATTTTTCTCTTCTATAAACAATGCTTCCTGATAACAAATAACAACTCTGTGACTATCAAAACCATTTTTCCTTTGTGCTCAAGTGAAGTGTATCTTGCAGTTATAGTGAGGATTTATACACCCGCATCTCTTCATCATTAGGACCTGGTGAGTGTCGGCTAGCGCTCTGCCCCTGTTGAAGAGATGCTTTGGTATCCTCTTGAAAAATCTCTCTCAGACTTTGATGCTGAAACTAGATCTACTTCTATGTAGTTCTATCTAGATGATGTGTTTGGAGTCATTCAAGTCGGATAGCACCATTTTGGAAATATAGGTTATGATGAGGGATCCTTGTTCTAATATTTCGGTGCCGGGATTTCTGTAAGAGATGTGTTTTGGTCGTTGTTGCTTCAAGACATGCATTTTGTTTGTGTTAGTGGAGAAGCCAAGCATTTGAATTTTTAACATATTTTTTCAGGACATCCAGAATGTCTGGCAAACAAATGGTTTTTCCAGAGAACCGGAGTTTAAATTATTGTACTTTCTGGAACAAATTGTTTTGTCAATAATATTCCAAGCACCACCAACTCCAGGATTTCCAGTGGGTGGGAATGGGAGGATGGCATAGTAGGAGTGAGTGAGTGAGTTTAGTTTTATGTCACACTCAGCAATATTCCAGCTGTATGGTGGCAGTCTTTAAATAATCAAGTCTGGACCAGACAATCCAGTGATCAACAGCATGAGCATTGATCTGCGTAATTGGGATAAGATGACATGTGTCAACCACGTCAGCAAGCCTGACCACCCGATCCCGTTAGTCACCTCTTACGACAACCATGGGTTACTGAAGATCAAATCTAACCTGGATCTTCACGGGTTGGACAAGGTAGGATGGTGGGTATTGCTGTGAAAGTATGTCTTCAGACATGCGATAGGAATTAGTGTAGGAATTGTGTTGACATGATAGGCACCAAGGCCAGGGTTGGTGTTATGTGTCATGGGTCATGTCATGTCATGTGCTAGGATGGTATTAGTTGTCAGGAATATTCAATCTACAAATCCCGACTTCTGATCGTTGATATCGATTCATTCTGCAATAATGATTTTCCCGAGATCTGCTGACAGGGTCACAATAAACGGGCTGCACAAATTGTGCCCCAGTTGGCAGTCAAACCCAGGTTATTTTAGTGTAAAGCATTACAGGTTTCAGTGTAAAGTATTACAGAGACTAGTCTGTTTGATTTTATAGGGTCTAGTTTCATTATTCAGGTACTAGTCCATTTGATAATACAGCTACTAGTCCATTTGACTTTAGAGGGACTAGTTTATTTATTTGTTAAAGGACTAGTTTATTTGATTCTTGTGGAACTAGTTTCTTTACTTATTCAGGGATCAATCCTTTTGATTTTATAGGAACTTGTTTTTTGTTTTTTAAAGTGACTAGTCCGTTTGATTTTAAAGGGAGAATTTTATTTGATTCCACAAAGAATGGTAAATCTTTCAGAAGTGTGGAAACTGTTAAGACAAGGTAAAATCTGTTGTCGACTGACATTCATAAAACATAAACTAATACAAGTCTGTTCACACTGGAAGAACTCTGAAGGGATGATGCCAAGGTTGGATAAATCAACACCTGTTCGACAGTGATGTGTTGTAAAACAATATATTGGTATCCAGGTGTAGAAAAATTTCCACCACAACGGGAAATGTTTACCACACTTCGTTTAGATCCGTGAGTAGACGCAATATATATGATTGTGAATTCTTTGAATAATGTGGACCAAAGTTAAAAATTATTGGTAACTGCTAGTTGTCTGTGGTCTGTGTTTGCCACGATCAGGACCCCATCACGGGGGATCGACTTATGCATGAAACATATCATTTTGACACTGATTTTAAGGGTCAAGTTTGGGGGTCGTCTTATCCATGGGGTCGTCTTATAGACGGTCATATACGGTACATTTTCTAGCATTTGTTTTTATTTTACATACATTTTAACCTTCTATTTCAAGATTTTTAGGAAGGAAATTAACTCCAAATTAATCCTGGAAATAACTCTACAGATTTTAATTTTGCTTCCGTACAGATTAAAGACATTAACGCAGAAACATTCCTCACTCTGGCCTAAAAATAATTAAAGGACACCAGAAGCACATTTAATTACAAACCATCATCGACTTCCTCCGATTCTTAGCTTAAAGCCATGATTGAGTATGTGGTATTTTCAACTTATGGTATCAATATCTGTTGAGAATTGTATTTTGGATATATATTAAGAAACTATTTTTGGGCTATGCCAGGGTTTTATTAATTTGGAAAGAAGGTTATGTCCAATACATCAAGAAGATGAGTCATGTCAGATTCTGTTGCAAGGACATTTGGATCACCGATTCAGGTATCCATTAAATGTCATCTGCAGAGGTGGCTGTGAGTCTACTTGAGGGCGAGAACCTAAGTAAATATTTGGTTTGATTTTTCAAACTGTTCTCTACAGCTGGCCTGCTCTAACAAAGAGATGGTAATAAGTTGATTAGTCAGTGGTAATGACAGCCTCGCTCCTTCATAAAACTCTCTCCAGCCGAGTTCTCCTTTTAACGATGCAGTTGCATGAGGAACTGCTATCATGATCTCCTCGAGGAGTTTAACTCTTCCTTAAGGGTCAAAGACCACATGAAATAATGGACTAGGATACCACTTCAGTTTGGGATGGTTTTGCTGAGGATGATTTAAAGAGTGTTAACTCCATAGAGGTCATTTCACAACCTTTCTAATTTTGGGGTCAGCGATTAAGAAATAAGTGCTTTATGGTATTTTGTTGTTTCTGAACCTTAAATGTTTGACATAAAAGGCAAATATTTCATATCGGGGACATTTTGATTTGAATATTTTTGAAATTTTGCCGAGTTCTTGATGTTGACTGTTGTCATTTGGTGAAGGAAGATATGTCATATATGATTTGTTTTGTGTGTTAAATGCTGCACTTAGCAATATTTCCAGTTATTTGAAGGAAGTCTGTAAGAATCGAGTCTACACCAGACAATCTAGAGATTGACAGCATGAGCATTGATCTACGCAGCTGGTGTATGATGACATGAGTCAACCAAGTCAGCGAGTGGGACCACTCAATCCTGTTTGTTGCTACTTATGACAAAGCATGGGTTGCTGAAGACCAATTCCATGTCATTTTCTGGATTAGATGTTGTTAGTAAAGTACAAGTTCTGATACTTTTGGGGGATGCGTCTTATCCTACATTCTAACCCACACACTCAGCGAGGTACCAGATAAGTGTAATCCCAAATATAGCCTTGTTACATTCAGCAACTTTCCAAACAGCATTGTGTATTGATGTCACAGGGTACACGTCCACTGCAAGAGGTCATAGTGTTGGAGGGAGCAGTGGGGTAGTCTAGTGGTTAAAGCATTCGCTTGTCATGCCAGAGACCCGGGTTCGATTCCCCACATGGGTAAAATGTGTAAAGCCCTTTTGTGGTGTCCCCCGCCATGATATAGCTGGAATATTGCTAAAAGCAGCGGAAAACCAAACTCACTTACTCAGTCATAGTGGTGGAAGACAGTATGCTCCAGAAGATGAGCCGTTTTTGTTCCGATTTTTAATCTGGAATATTGCTGAGTGTGGCGTTAAACAACAACCAAACCAAACTTAACTTAAGCGGAAATTGATTATTTCTGTAGAAATACTAACAAGATGTTCAAAGCAGGTTAATATTTGTTACTGTTAATGATTTTGAAATATTCAGACATTGTCAGGCCCTCCTTGAGGATTGTGGTTGCTTTTTTTCATAATTTTGTGTGTTTTCTGATGTTGGTTTGTTATGTGAGGAAACTGGTACAGCGTTCTTTCTCCATTAAATGAAACAGGAATTTAATCAAGAACATGTCCATTGATCGAAATCCAGATCAAAAGTTCAATAAACTTTAACAAGAAATTTTACATGATATTAGATTCCGGAATCTGTATCAATATTTTCATGGCAGGAAAGCCCGAAATTTTCATATCCACGGCAATTTGTCGATGTGTTAAAATAACAAGTTCGTGACTGTAGCCTTATTATAGGAAACTTGTCTAGTTGACAGATTTCATCTCAAACATAATCGTACATCAAAATACATGGACGTCTTTAGCTTGAGATATTAGATTTTTGACTGTACGAAGTTTTTGCAGTGCCAATAGAAGCTGACATGCATTTTCCATAAAGTGTATGCACTTAAATGCAGTTGTAACCACGCTTGCTCTACATTATATCAAGAAGCCGCTGACAGAATAAGTCAAACTTCATTAATGAACAGAGTGTGATAAGAGCCCTTTTGACCAACTAGAATTGCCAAATTTTTAGCTGGACTTTTTTATTGTTTTGAAAATTATTGCAAGATTTTTCATTTTCAAACGTAGAAGATTTTAATCGAACACTGCTTGATATCTTTATCCTTTAGAAGTAAACTTTTCCAGTAGTTTTACCACCTTACTGTGCGACCGCCTCCGTGTAGTAGTTAGATTGTCCGCCCGGAGTACGGAAGGTCGTGGGTTTGATCCCCGACCGCGTCATACCAAAAGACGTTAAAATATGGTATTTGTTGGTCCCTGCCTGGCTCTCGGCATTAATGGGTACAACAAGGACTGGTCGGCTCGGAGTCAGTATAATGTGTCTGAGTGGGGTATTCATGCTTCACTGCGGCATGGTATCTCAGTGGGCTAGCGCTATAAAACCAGCTTAGGTCTGGGCTAGTACAAGCAGCCGCACGTACACATACACAGGCATGCATGTCGTCATATGAGTGAAATATTCTCAAGCACGACGTTAAACCCAATTCCACCACCACCACCACCTTAATGTGTATTGTTAGATTTCAGTTCAATTGTTTCAATACTTGTGATTTGTGTTTGGTAGATAAGACAACAGTGTGGATTCTGGGTAAGAATTGTCCTCATCAACATGTGAGTGAGTGAATGAGTGAGTGAGTTGGGCAACATCACGATGGGGGATACCAGAAATGGGCTTCACACATTGTACCCATGTGGGGAATCGAACCTGAGGCTTCGGAGTGATGAGCAAATGCTTTAACCACTGGGCTACCCCACCACGCCCCCCATGAACTTATGCTGGTCATAAGAAGCGATTTGGTGTATTGGGTGGTAAGTCTGACTGACTTAGCTGATTGTATTTCATCATACCCAGAAAGGTTGATGCCCTTCAGATGTCAATGGTTTGTGTCCTCCAGACTCAACGACCCGTGAAGGTCCAGGTTAGAATGAGCCTTCAGTATCCCATGCTTGTCGTAAGAGGCGACTAACGGGATCAGGTGGTCAGGCTCACTGGCTTGGTTGACACATGTCATCGGTTCCCCATTGTGCAGATCAATGCTCATGCTCTTGATCACTGGATTATCTGGTCCAAACTCGATTATTTACAGACTTCCGCCATATAGCTGGAATATTGCTGACAGCGGTGCTGTGTAAAACTAATCTCACTCACTCACTCCAGACTCAACTATACACAGTATTTGGTCATATAACTGGAATAATGATGAAAACAGCATTACAAAACAGAAAGCAAGCAGTAACAAAATTCACAAATTTTATGAATCACTATTTATTTACTCATTAACTTTTTTCTGTATATTTGCACAACTGCTAACTGCGATTTTTGTTTTTTTTAAAGTCATGAATGAGTGAGTGAGTGAGTCATGAATGCATATATGGAGATCATGTGTAAATAGGTTGGAATGAATAAAACTTTAATGTGTTTTTTAGTGAATGGTGTAATTGTCTTGCGGTTATGTCTCCTCCAAATCATTTATCACTTAGATTTTGAAAATCATTGAAACGAAAAAGGTTTTGTTTTTCAATCATAGACAAAGCAGACGTAATGATATGCTGTGGAGCTGACTAGTTCATGATGCCTTTTGGCTTGATGTCCCTCCCAGCCATGCCATCTATTTATAGGTCTTTGAACTGATATCATGTGATCAGAATGAGAGTTTAATGGACCCAATGTCGATTTTTCTTGCCTGGAAATTGCTCGTCAACCTGTGGCTGTTTAATATGCATCCTGAAAAATGTCCTAATGTTCATTTTATGTTCGGCTTCATGGTCTAGAAAGTAAACATGTTTGATATCCGTTGAAAGACTTAATGGGAGTCTGGTGGTCAGTGTGTTTGGTCTTCTCGCCTAAGTCCAAGTTTGAACCCCAATGACTAATGTCTTCTGCTTAGTGTTCAGCTATGAAGTCAGGAATATTGCTTTGAGTATTTTTCAAGTTCCCTGGAAATGAATGTTTACCAAAATAACGTGTTTGCCTTGGTGGTCTGGTGGAAGTGTCTGCCAGGAGTGTGCGAGATGAAATCATATTGTCGTGATTTGAAGCCCTGGCCTCTTCAAACAAAGAGATACCCATAAAATTTCCAGGTTGGAATTTGTCTTCAGCAACCCATGCTTGTTTTAAGAGGTGACTAACGGGATCGGGTGGTCAGCCTCTCTGATGTATCCCAATTGCTTAGATCGATGCTCATGTTGATCACTGGGCTGTCTGGGCCAGACTCGATTATTTGCAGACTGCTGCCATATAGCTGGAATACTGCTGAGTGTGGCGTAAAACAACAAACCAACCATCGAAAGAAAAGATGTTTAAAAAATGGTATTTATTGTTGCCCTGCCTGGCTTTCAGCAACAAGAAGATAAAACAAGGATTATTTGGCTCTGTGTACGGTCTTAGTGGGGTATACATGATGAAAATGAAATTGCATAGATAGATGCACATGATGTAAGTCACTGGATTGCCTGGTCCAATTTCAGTAGGGTATCCATTTTAAACTGAAATTGCGTAGATTATCTGGTCGAAACTTGATTTTGATTGACCGCTGTCATATAGCCGGAATATTGCTTCATGTGACAGTAAACAACACATTATATAATCACAAGACTCTTGAATGTGTCGTTAAACACCATTCCACTTCACGTAATGTCACCATGGGTGACTAATCCCAATCTTTTGATAGAATTTCACATGTTTTTTCTCCTGCAGTATACCGAGTTGTTACTGTGTCTCCGACCATACATCCTCGGTTTGTGTCAGGGAATGCTCCACGACAACATGATTCCATCTATTTGAGACGAACTATCGCGACTGATGGTGCTGTCTCGATCCGACTTTCCGATGTCTAAATTACCGAGATTAGTCTTGAGGCCAGCTTATCTCAACAATCAACAAGCGTACATTCCATTTCACAAAGGAAGTCCCTATTTATCAGAACCGAGGCCAGTCGAAGTCGCCCCCTCACATGGGAGACCTAATTGAGGCTAGGCCCGCTTCTGGAACTTAATTTGAAAGCGGCTTTAAGGAAGTGATGGCTGTACCTCGATAATTGCCAGCATGATACATATTTTATGGCAAGATTAATGAAGCTCATGCTGTCCAAATGAAACCCAAGTCGCCCTATGTATGTATATTTCCCACCACAAGATTAACTTCATAGACACCCTTGATGTTTCGACCTGTCAGTTTGTGAAAAATAGGTCCTTTAAATGGATTGTTGTTTAGTGTTGATTTTATTATCTGTTACAGTTGTTTCAAATCTTGTGTGTGTTTTTTCTAAATATGTAATTGAAAGAAGGGGTACCAACATAGCAACAGTGCTAACAATATTTATTTATAAATTTCTTGAATATTTTGTAAATTTCTTGTTGTTAAATCGGTTGCCTATCATTTGGTGAATTCCCCAGTATATTGTGGTTTGTATTGAGATTTTGTATGTTCTTGCGACATGTCATATTACGTTAATGGAACAGGAATGTGGAATTGGATCATCATTGTCCCCCGCGCGCGCAATGTGGAACGGGGGACTCTATTGAGCAGAGACCATCCGTACGTATCTCCCAATTCTTGTTAGCACAATAGGGGCGGTGGGGTAGCCTAGTGGTTAAAGCGTTGGCTCGTCACACCGAAGACCCAGGTTCGAATCCCCACATGGGCACAATGTGTGAAGCCCATTTCTGGTGTCCCCCGCCGTGATGTTGCTGGAATATTGCTAAAAGCGGCGTAAAACCAAACTCAGTCAGTCAGTGTTAGCACAATATCTCATAAAATGTTGGTCCCAATGTTGTCAAATTTAGTGCCAGCCTACATTAGGGGATTACACAGACAGCAGTCAATTTGGGTGACCTTGACCTTATGTTCAAGGTCACCATAACACTTTGACCACTTTTCAAACTTATGTAAATGCGATTTCTCATAAAACTTTGCACCCTATTTTAGCCTGAAGAATATTTTGCCATTATCTTACAAATTTGATGTCAGGAATTAACATAACAGGTATCAGGGTAGGGTAGGGTAATATGGGGTGGGGTATCCGGGTAGAAAATTTGGACCAGTTCCAGCCCTAATACACACTGATACTGACAGTGGATCTGTGCATCTGTATCTGTACATTCACATCTACTATGTTCCTGAAATATCTTCAGAGGTCAGTGTCGTCACGATATGGCTGAGATATTGCCGATGTGACGTTAAATATTAACTCACTCACTCACTCACTCACTCAGAGTTCAGTGACCATGACTAAAACATCTTCTATGTGACCAAAAGATAAAAACTAGTAAATATGTTAGATTTCATTCTTCTTTAGCGGCAGGGGACATTGCCATGTTAGTGGTAAGCACTTGTCTTCATTGCCATCAGCATTGCCACCACCTCATTTATCATCATCAACATCATCATCATCATCATCATCATCATCATCATCATCATCATCATCATCATCATCATCATCATCATCACCATCATCAACAAAGCCATTATTTTATCGTAACTTTGATTGACTTGTTCTCGCTGTGCATAACTTCCTGCAATTCACCCAAACCAGAAGCTTTAAAGAAGAACTAATCTCAGCGTTTCATTTTTTTTTTTAAACATTAGAGACAGGGACTTGTTTCCTGGAAATTTCTGTGTCATTAAAAATCCCAATGTCTGCGTTGTACATCCTGATAATGATTTACTGTCATACTAACACTGTCCCTCAATATCACTGTGAAATAATTATCGTTGCTCAAAACTCAGTTGCTCAGTTTCTGTAACACTCTTCTGGTATGGATACCCTTAAGCCTAGGGGGCATATATTTTCACTCTCATACCTAAATGGTTTGGTAGAACGCTCCTGGCATTTTTTCAACAGGAACATCCTGTTGTTGTCAGCCCTCATTATACACTCATCATAACTCCATGCATTTTGATGATCGGAATTGAGATTTTAGGCGGTGGCCATTTTTGTTTCCCAGGAGAGATAATTTGAGCAACCGCGGTAAATTACTCAGTTAATAAACTCCATGGCTTGGCGATACATAGAAGATTGTGTTTAATCCAGGAAAAAATGTTGAAAGGTGGAGAATAATTATTGATAAGGAATGGAACCTTGTTGCTTTGGGGGCTCGTGGAATTGAGCTGTTGATTCAGGGTAAGAAGATGAATCTGGGTTCCAGTTAAATGGTTTGATGCGGGATGTCGTAGAATCTGGTGCCAAAAAATGGTCGGGAAAATTTATTTGTACATCGGAGTGAAAATGAGGGTTTGAAATTGAACATTGGGTATTTTATCAAATTTAACTTGATTTTATGGCAATTGTGTGAATGGCAGGTGTTCTCTGAAAGGACAGACACCTGGTGTTATCAAGGATGTTCAGTGATCCATTCATATGGTTTTCACCACGGTTTTGCCGTTTATGCCCAGTGGAATCTGTTTTGTCAGGTAATCAATGTTGTCATGGATTTAAAGCCAGATGTAGGAAGCCAACTTATGACGTGGCAGTTTAGCACCTGAGTTTGCTTGTAATAACTGGTTTGCTTTTAAGCCCAATCCAACCTGTGTCAGCAGTTTGAGACTGATTATCTGGTATTACGTATTTATTTGGTTGCAAAACAACTTAAAAGCAGTGTACCGTAAATAGAATAGTTGATAATGCTTTGTCCGAAACATCCAAAGAATAGGAGAGCTAAAACAGTGTGTTTGGAAGCTTTTTTTTAAAAAATAAATAAAGTTTTTTTGAATTTTGTATAAAACATTTTTTTTTTAAATTACTTTGTACTCATCTACAAAATGTATTTTAAAAATGGTAAAATGTCATTTAATATCAATCAAATGCTTCAAATTCAAAACATAAATATCTAATATTCCTGTCAATGGTGCATTGAAAAGTTTCTAGTAAAAAAGTTTCCATTTTTCAATAAAATATGTTATTTTTGTTCTTTCTATATTTTTGTATTTTATCTTTTATAGGTATTGCATTTGGCTATGAAAATAAATTCAAATTTTGATCATGGATTTATTTAGTTGTTATTCTGACATACTGTTGAATGCTGTGTCGGGAAATTCACTCACTGATTCAGTAATGGTTAAACATTGATAATTACTTTCATGCCTAAGTACCTCAGGTCAGACTACCTGGTTACAGGTGATTGTTCTATAAACAATTCAGTGATTGATTAGGAGCCGATCATGACACTCAACGCTTGCAAATGACCTGTTTATTAATGCATACAATATCAGTGTGTTTACTGAAAACAATAGATGTTTATCCATAAACATCTGTTTATCATGTTTCCTTTGCCCAATACTTTTTATATGTATATGTGTTTATATGTAATGGTTCCCCTACATATCTACCTTAAAACATTCAGCATGGCTAAGACCAGGATGCCTTGTGAAAAGCTATCTTAGGGCTAAGGTCACTTAAAGGTCACCGCGTAACTCCCATACCTTAACATAGACTTGCATAAGTCTTAGCTTAAGGTCACCGTAACTCCCATACCTTAACATAGACATAAGTCTTGCATAAGGTCAGTCTCCCAGACTTTAACATAGACTTGTACCTTAGCACTACTCCCATACCTTAACATAGACTTGCATAAGTCTTACCGCTAAGGTCATCGTAACTCCCATACCTTAACATAGACTTGCATAAGTCTTAGCATTAAGGTCACCGTAACTCCCATACCTTAACATAGACTTGCATAAGTCTTAGCATTAAGGTCACCGTAACTCCCATACCTTAACATAGACTTGCATAAGTCTTACTGCTAAGGTCACCGTAACTCCCATACCTTAACATAGACTTGCATAAGTCTTAGCATTAAGGTCACTGTAACTCCCATACCTTAACATAAGACTTGCATAAGTCTTAGCACTAAGGTCACTGTAACTCCCATACCTTAACATAGACTTGCATAAGTCTTAGCATTAAGGTCACCGTAACTCCCATACCTTAACATAGACTTGCATAAGTCTTAGCATTAAGGTCACCGTAACTCCCATACCTTAACATAGACTTGCATAAGTCTTAGCTGCTAAGGTCACCATAACTCCCATACCTTAACATAGACTTGCATAAGTCTTACCGCTAAGGTCATCGTAACTCCCATACCTTAACATAGACTTGCATTAGCACTAAGGTTGTTTTGTACTACGGAATTCAGGAAAGTTGTAATGTGGTTGAAACTACAAACTTTTATGGCAAGAGTCATTGCACACTCTTGGAAGAAGTCTATTTTCTTTAACATTAAACACTGTTGACCCATGTTGATGAACTCTTTCATAATGCAACTATGTACGACTAGCCATAACAACATGCCTTTGCACGTAAAGTACAAAGTGGTCTTTGACCATATGAGCATCTGACAGATGAAAGTCTTGAATTACCGACGGTACCTAATTGAAAAAATGGCCTGGTGGAGCATATTTCTAATACCTTTGGCCTTGTAGTGAGCTCTTGCAAAGCTGAATGTACTTGAGACTCGGGCAGTGAATTCCAATTTTCTGTAGAAATAGTTCGCACAAAAACAGCCAAGAGTGAGTATCATGTCTTTGATGTTGAATTAACTGTTAGGCTTCTTTCTGGAATTATATCAGATGATGTTGCAAATTGCTGTTTTTACCAGCTGATCTTCCATGAGGCACTTGGAAAAATGTTTTTCAAGCAAGCGATGACGGTTTAAGGTTGTACTGCTGTGGTGTAGTGGATAGGCCGTTTGCCTGGAGACTTGGAACTTGGTGGTTCGATACCAGATGTTAACAGATGGTACTTGTTGTTAACCTGCCTGGTGCTATTTGGATAAAACAAGGAGTCATTAGCTCTGGGTCAGTATATGGGTACCAGAGTGGGGTACCAGTGGTTAAACTTTGCATGGTATCTCCGCGTGGTAGCGCTCAATGATGATTGTTCAAACAGTGAGTGAGTGAGTGAGTTTAGTTTTATACCGCTTTTAGCAATATTCCAGCAATATCACGACAGGGGACAGCGGAAATGGGTTTCACACATTGTAATGGGTTTCACACAGTGTACCCATGTGGGGAATCGAACCCGGGTCTTTGGCTACCCCACCACCCCATAGACGCATGCAGGCATACATGCACACACACACATGCATGTGCATATGCAGATACAAAAACAGATTTGTTGTCATAATAAAAGTGAAACAAGCCCAAATGTAATTTTATGCACAATTTCACCTCAAGTCACCAAAAGAACTAAAATGCTTCATCAACATATCTCCTCAATGCTTCAGCCTCTGACTGCTGATAGGGGGTGGGAATGGGTTGTTACCTAGTGGTTAAAGCGTTCACTCATCACGACAAAGGCCTGGGTTCAATCCCCCGCATGGGTACAGTGTGTGAAGCCCATTTCAGGTGGCTTCGCCATGATATTGCTGGAATATTGCTAAAAGCGGCGTAAAACACAACTCACTCACTCACTCTCTGCTGATGGTTTTGTTTCTTCTTCAATAGTCTTGATAAAATACGTCCATTTATGGGGTGAGCAACCACAATTAGAAAGTAAATCTAAAATGGAATTTTACTTTTCAAAGTTTTAACAAAAATATTCAGTGTATTTTTTACAATATGTTGTCTTTCAGACTTTTGTTTTATCTTGTGTTTTATAAACCTAATGTATATCCTTTGCATTGAAAAGCACAAGGACTCTGTCATGGTCCTGTCAGGTTCTTTGGCATTTTTGTTATAAAATAAAAAATTGAAACAAAAGCAATGTTTATGTCATAAATGACATAGAAAGTTTTTATCAAATGGATCCTTAAATATTCTTGTGTATAGAAATAATTTGACATATTCTTCAAAGATTTAATTTTTGGAGCGAAATGTTCCTGTGAGTTTCAGTGCCCGACTGTTTCATTATGTGTCTGTCCGAGAAT